AAAATATTTAATTTTACCTAAATTTGTAATAATATAATAATAATATTTATTAGCTGAAAAATATATAATAAACTAAAACTATTCAAAATTTTCTTTTGTATGGTAAATTTCAAAACAAGGTGCAGCACATAGCCCAACATTCCTTATTTCAACATTAGAAAACATACCTTTTATACACTAAAAATCCAATTTACTCTCTATAAAAATACACCATAAAACAAAAACGTTTTTATATGTTGACACTAATAATATTTGTAAAAAATAAAAAACAATTGTCTTTGAAGAAATTCACTTTGATAACGTCTACTTTACTTCACGACTTGCTCACGAATAATACACTAAATGTTCATAAGTGCCATCCTAAAAGTGCATATTTTATTCCTGAATAAGCAAAAAATAGAAAGAGATCGGAGATAACTGGAGAGTAATAAATAAATTAGTCATAACAAAAGTCACAAAAGTGCCAACGCTAATTAGATACGCAATAATGGATATAGATAGATAGAAACAATTACCAGGTCAGAGATGCTTATAAGTGTCACCCTAAAAGGCCATATTTTATAATCCCAAATAAACAAACTTTACAGCTTACAATACAGAATTACACGATGAATATCAATAAATTGAATGTTTTCCTTGGTTTTTATTAAGTTATTTTTACTGCCCGGATATATTCGAATCTGAACATTTTAGCGACATAAGTTGCGACGCCGACCGTATATATACGGGTCTGCACATTTTGGCCGGTTTTGCACGCCCGTGTTAATACGTTTCTGCGCGTTAAGGGGTTAAACGGTGAAAGACGTAGAAGTGTAACTTGTCAAAGGTTGAGAAACTGGCTGGCGTACAAGTTTCTGACTCAAAGGGGATTTTAAGGGAAAATTTGCTATTTAATCGCTTGGGAAAATTCTGAAAAAAATCAGACACTTTGCCAAAATTGAAAGAATTTTGTAAGATTTTTAAATCGAGAAATGTGGAATTGCAAGACTAACTTTTATCTAACTTTAGAGCACGGCTAGATATTTGCCTTGACGAAAAGGCTACTTACAAGAAAAATCCTTTTTAAATCGCATGCGAAAAATCCGGAAAAAGTATTTAACATAATCTACTTACTGAACTGTATATTCTATATTTTTTTCCAATTTTTAGGTTGTAAGATACGGAATTATAGCATTTCAATGTGTTAATGCTTCTGAGACAAGAATGAAAACTTTATTTGAAATCAAAGCAACTGATCCTAAATACGTGTTAACAGGATTAAAAATTACCTCTGATTCATCAGTACAGTACATACAGTACTGCAGTAGTATAATACTGAATACTGTATTTGCTGTTTCTCATGAATTTAATTGCATAATAGCGCAGCTTATCACGTTAGAATTTCAAATCGTTAGTAAGTCCATGAGTCGCTTCCGCGGGAATCTTCCTCGTTAACGAATCGCACGAGCTCCCATCGGATTTCCCACAGAGCGGAACTGTCTCCGTTATTGGAAGGTGAAAGTACATTTCACCGTTTGACCTATGAATAACTGCGGAAGATCGCATTCTTCCATTCGAGCGGCGCCACCCACACACGCACATACGCCAACGCAGTGCCCAGCCGGTTCTTTGCCCGTACACTTGGCAATAACGTTATCGGACCGTGAAAGTCACGGTGGTACCCGCGAATTACTGGCAGCCCCCGCCAATGGACGATTTACATGATCGAGGAACTGAAGAATCAATTCTGTGGTCTTTTCTCCGATTTCATTTCTTTAAACGGATGCACAGAGCGTGCCAAATTATCGCGGAAAAGGCTTGCGGTTGCCATAAGAAGACTGGGAAATCGATGGAACACCATGGATATTCACAATACCATCGCAATAATAACTAGACCCTAGATCTTCATGCAATTCGTAAATATACAAATAAAGGAACAATTGTTCTGGACGTTTAAAAGATGCGCAGTGTAGAGAACGTTTCTTCAGGATTATAGTACTCTTTCGCAGAAGAGACAAATGTTTTATGAACAGAAATATTGAAAGCAATCTTGTTGAAAGATGTAAAAGTTGATTTTCACATTTGCGAAATAATAATGAATTTATTTCGAAATCTATGCTAATTAAATATCTCCTATTCCTCGAAGTGAGAACTACAACCTTTTATAACTACCACAGATTCATTTTAACACTCTACGCATTGTCAGTAGCATCAGACAATTAATTCGCGACCATAAGTCTCGGTGACTTCAATGCATGCTGAGGAAGTGATGCTCAGCGACTTCAATGCACGGTGAAGTAACATCGTTAACATAATCACGTTTCTAACGATTTCATTTCTTCTGCCTTATGCTGCGTTCATTCACCTGTTTCCTCAAAACCTCAACTTCATTGCTTCTATATTTAGCATAACGTTGCTACCTGCTATCTTACGAAAACTCGATGTAATGTCCAGAATGGTGTTGCATGTGACAGAGATTGTAGTTTTAATCGTAGAACCGACCGGCCAATGAGTAGCGCGACAAACGAATCGCTCTAAAACGTGCCAGATAACTGGTTAAACGATATTTTCCACGTTTTTTCCGGCGATAATGTTGCTCGGCAATCAGACGCCGGTTTCGAAGGCCATTCACTTTCCATTCGCGAAAGAAAGCCGGTCTTTTTACCGCGTTTAGACGCTGTTTGACCCTTGGACGGGATTTGCGAAATTTCTAGTCACCTGCTAACATCTGTATCCTTTCGACCGAGCAACCGATATTGCCTCGTCCCGATTCTGTCTCGCCTTTCGAAAATTATGTGCCGCGAACTCGCACAGAAATCCGTGAAAAGCGATTCTCCGCACGTTACGACAACCATTTTTCATCGGTTCGGATTTCACGAACGTTTAACTGCCGCGTCTAGATGAATGCGCTTAAATCGATCATCGCTTCTTGAGACGATCGTCTTAATTACGTTCAACCCAGATCGAAACATAAAATACGTAGTTGCGTAATTCTTCGTAACGATGTGCAAGATAAAATATTTAAAAATAAAATTGCTTTTGATTTGTACTTAATTGTCTGTTTGTAAAAGTAGGCGTAATTGTAACGAAGTCGACGAAACATATATTAAATATCCCTGTAATTATACATATAAATGACCAATTAGTACATTTAATAAGTCATCAGGGACACGATTTTGATGTCAACAGCAGAGTTTCGCAACAAAGAGCAATTACTCTGCAGTTTCTACGCGAGGAAATAAATTTATTTTCTACCGGTTTTATTCAGTCATCGTCCATGGAATCGTTGTTTTTCTTTACGTCGGAGATTTCTGGTTTACCTTGATGGCCCTCGGAAGGAATGCGTGCCGAATGTTGCATAGAAAGCGTGTCTTCTTTAAAATTGATCTGACACATTTTTTCTATCACCAGTAGCAATCGAGTTGTTTACATGGGCTGTTTATAATGCATAATACATTTTTCATGTATTAATACATGGGCTGAAATATGCATAATACATTTTTCCATCTAGTGCATCGTGTCAGTGGATCATTAGAGAATTTGTAATGATTAGAATAACACAGATTGTCCCTAAGAACGTAGCTAAGTCCACGATAAACTTGTTTGATCAGTGAATTATTCCTTTTTTTCTACGCCTGTAAAAATCAATCATCTTTGTAATGAATAGCGCAGTGATTATAGGTCACCAGACATAAATTGTAAAGGCTTTATATATCATTTTTGTACAAATAGATGACAGTTATTTGTTGGAAAGATTGCTCAAACAATAAGTTAAGCAATGCATCGTTAACAATTTCTCTGCTAGAGACATTTCTGTCCGTATTAATACTTAATCGATGTACCATATTTCAAAAAATCCTCTACATAATTCTACATCTTCTGTACATAAATTAAAAAATTTCGCACCAATGAAAAATATGGAAAAATTACCACGCTCTTTTTAAAATTTTGCAGAACCCAAATATAATTAGTTCCAATTCTAGAACCTCTTTAATCATTCTGAATAATAGATTGATGATTTCTAAGCAGTTTTTTCATTGTTATACACTGTTCTATAAAAATTCCCAGAGAGAAGAATGTTACATATTAAAAATTATTCACAATAAAATCTAGAGCAGACAAGCTTAATAATTAATATTTCTTAATATCTAATATAATATTTCTTGATTTGAACGTTTAATGTTAATGGCATAGACATTGATGTTCAATGATTGTTAATATTGTCTCGATGAAAAATCAATAAATTTTTGTTTCAGCCGCCGCCGACCAACCAACGGTTTCAGTTTGGTGGTTTCGGTCGTTAATTAGCCAATCACCGCACAAACGCGACACCTCGACGCAATGGCGCAGGGATAAATAGACCATAATGTCTCGTGGCCTACGCAACATCATTTCAACGGATCACAGAAGATCGCAGTGGATCCTTTGACCCTGTCGGGTCTCGACTCGGACTAGAATACCAAGCAAAAACTGAATCGTTTCGAAACCTCATAATTACATCGATTAAATGCTTAATGACTGGTAATGATAACGATCGAGGACAGAGATCGTTGTTTTTCCAGAGTCAACTCATTCCTTAATCACGGTAACACTACCTTGAAACATGCAATGGTAGGTGATAACGATTTATCAAGCGGCGACTAAAAATGAATCGAATTCGGTTCGGGATAATTCGTGAATGCGATAGAAATCGACGAAATTATAGATCGAGACGGTGTTACACAAGATGACATACTCTGTAACAATTTCGCATCGACTACTTTCCCTAATAAACGCTGAGCTCTTTATGACGATCGATCGATCAGTTTCCGCAGGATGACTCGTCCGGCTGCTCGAGACAGCTTTCGAGATACCGTTTCAACGCGATTCGAATGACGCGGATCCGAGTTGTATTCAAAACACGTGTCGCATCCTGTTTAATGTATGAAGAAACGCGAAGGAGACATTAATAATCGTCGCGTTAATCGTTTTTTTTTTTTTTAGTTGTTGTTCGACAGCGGATCGCGCGGCCGCTAATTAGACGTTCGTGACTCTAATCGGGCAATTACGTGTGAGAAACTAATACTCTCACTGTCTCATTTGATGCACTCGAGACATGGTAATTTCAAACTCGTGTGTATAGCTGGCGTTCGATTTTAATTAATAATTTTAATATTTCAGAGTTTCAAATGAATTTTTCATGAATTTTTTTTTTCGAACTGAAATCTTCAGAAGAGTTTGTAGAATTTCAAAGTAATTCTTCGTCGTTTTTATTCGCGCGAAAAGTTTTACGAGATAATTTAATAAGAGAGAATTGGAATTGTGAAATTAATTACGGCACTCTGTTTGTACACAGAAACCAAACGATAGTCCTAGATTTTTCACTTCACCTGTTGCTGTTATTAATCGTTCGTTGTTTTTCACTAGTTTGCTCTTGTTTAGTTCAGAGGGTTAACGATTTTTAGTTAAGTTTATGTTTACACCGATGTGTCAGCTGTTGACTCTTGTTAATTGTTAGTTATAAGTACTTACTCCTGTTTGTTCTTCTGCCTACGTTTACCACTGCTAGTCTTTAATGACGGCAAACTTTCAAACTGATAACTTACTATTTTATATCAATTTTACAGCCGAAAGTCTATCATTAGACTTTCTAGTGTACGAAAGCATCAATAGAGATCTATTAACCTAGATTTTAATAACCATCATCCGTTTTGTACTTTTCTGAGCAATTTCAACTGAAATCTTAGCTTCCAGCCATATTGCTGGTTAGATATACTTAATCGACTGCTTAAATATTCTAATTTAATCAGACTACAAGAAAGCTATGTAACGAAACTACATACGCGTTTCTACTATAATTCAGACTAACGTTGTCTTTAATTAACAAGCTGCTCATGTTCATCTAATTTTCAGTTTTAGTGATAAAACGATCTTTAAAAACAATTGACTACAAACTAATAACATAATCGATACACATTTATGACAAAAGTAACTAGAAAGTGACATATTCTTCTTCATTTGCTGAACATCTGCCGCCAGATGTTTACACAGTCAGTCCATAAAAGCCGAGGACTCGATAGCCGTATTTGTTATTTAGACAACGCCGATGCATTAAGATTGCAACCGGTTGAGTTGCATTAACACGTTCTGCAGTTGCTAATCGTTAAGTCCACAAAAGATCGGTAACTATTATCCGGCAGGCGATCAACTTCTCACGTCCGCGGGGATTTCCGTGATCGATGATTCTTTTTCCAAGAAGTTGAAGCGGGAGCGACAGCTGCAAAGTTTAAGGTCTTGGACTGTGTACCCTTTCATCCGGAAATTTCACAAGTTCGCGCGTTGCGCAACAGAGCGATTCGAAGGACGTCGACTCCCTCTCACTCCCACGGCAATGATCGCTTTCGAACCTTGCATAGTCACGCGACTCGATCCATCGATAAACGAGAATTATCGACCGACCGCATCGTTCAACAAATTCTTAATTTCTCGAACGCGAATTAAGCTACATATTTAATTTTGAAAGGAATGTCAAATTTAGGAATCTTTTCCGCGAAAATCGTAATAATTATGCGAATGATTCCTAGGCAAGAGGATTCTGCAGACTTTTCCAAATTGAACAGTATATTTTTCAGCAGAAATAATGATAGATACCACTGTGTAAAAATTTTTTCATTTTTCTAACGCGAATCGAGGAATTTTGAAGGAAAAGTGAAATTTTCAGGTTTAAGAATTTGACTTGCTGAAACACTATGTTGGCTATGCAAATGATTCTTACGCGAAAAATTCTGTAGACTCTGTCAAACACGCTACTATGTATTTGTATTGCATTATGGACAGTTCGACATGTTTGAATGTTTAATGTTTCTTGAATTTATTCTTTAAATCAAGATTTAACTTCAGCACACGTCAAGAAAACTTAGTTAATTAATTCCGTTTGCGATCGGTGTCGCAAATCATCGCCAATGACTCTCAAATAGCTGTATTAAAAATGTGAAGCCTACAGACAGAAACAGAAAAATTCGACGATTAAATTAACCGTGACAGAAAACACGGACACGTTTCCCCAACGCATATTTCCTCGGTATAATTAAACGATAATTAAACAATCCTCTTACCGTTTACACAACAATTTAATGAAATTGATCGCTCGAAATTGCGTATGCGAATATTTTATACGTCGTTCTCGAATATTAACACAAGTCCTTCCGGACTGTTATTAGAAAGTTTAATAATTGAATGTACTTCACTAATATATTTCAGGAGAACATTTGATCAAAATAAATAATCACCACAAGAAAAGTGGAGAGAAATTTTCGTAGGTAACGTAATGGTTTTCACGTAACTCGCGATTGTATCTCGGAGCCTGTGTTCTGCTCAGAAATTATGGTAACGCATATCATGCGAAACCCGGAGGCATTTCGCTTTTCCTGACTATTTCTTTGCTCCGGTCGCATTCTGTCAATGAAAGGTATACCGAAGCGCGCAATGCTTGTAGCCACTAGCAGAACCTACACTTTTACTGGCATGCTTTATGCAAACTCCTAAACATCGTTATTTCTATTCCAGACATTTCAAGTATGCGTCTACCACAGATTGTGATTTTACTATCAAATTACACAGTGAACAGGATACTAGGTCTATGCAATTCTGTTAATAAATACATATTGAGAAGCATGAGAACCTCTGGTTTTAATGGATCACCTTCACTCACCTGCATCCAATCGATCCAGGACTATACCAAGGTGGCTAAAAACTGTTTCACCAACTCGAAACGTTTATCGCATGTGTAGACCAGTGATTAATTCACTGATTAACGCCGAGCTGTCAGATGGATGATCTACGAATAGAAAATTGGAATCTCGATCTACCATCATTAACGCTGAAACAACCGATCTCTGAATATAATTAAACCGTTTCATAACAATGGCAATTATAATGACAATTACTACAATATGTGCTCATATTAATTAATAATTAATGCTCGCTATTAAAATATCGCTAAAAAAATTCTTTACAGTGGCTGAGAAGAAAAATCGGAAGCCAATCATTTTGACCGGTATTTTGGTAGTTCCCGTATTAACATGTTGACTGCATAACCATTTGTTTATTCATATCCAATCATAATTAGATAACATTATCTTTTTAAGCTTGAAAGCTAATTTTTAGACTGACAGATTAAGTAGATAATATTCACTTACGATCTGTTAAACACAAGGAAAAAACTTGAAAGTGTAATTACTAGAAGAATCGTGAAGATTTTGAACACAGTTAATTTGTTAATAAATTAACATACACAATGAATATCAATTTTCTCTTTTTTTATAGCAAGCTATGAACGACAAATAGGTAATCACTGTAGCTATCAAATAAATTACAAGCAGTTATTATATCATGAATCTTTTGAGGCTTAGTTTTCTTATGTTGCTCTGATTTTGTCAAGTTTCTGTGTGGTCTCCATATGGTCGATCAAGGTGTTAGTCACAATTTTGCGAAACACGGACAACTGCGCTCGGTTGTATCTCCGACGAGGAAGCATGCATCGCAATCTGTACGCAATCTCGATCGCGTAAAATTGACTCATTCCACTTCGGCAATCAACGCGGCGTGATTTTTTCACAACGCCAGTGCGAGAACGGAATCGGCGTTTCGAACTCCATGTCTGCAACTTAATTGCGCCAATTAGCCGACCCGCATTTCTGCCGACGGCTTAATATATTTGATCCATTTCCTTTCTCACTGTTCTCCGATTCTTGGCAAAATGATGTAATTTCAAATGATTCTTGCTAAAATGGGGAAACTTGAAATGATCTTTGGTAAAATGAGGTAACTCCTCGACTGCAATGACAATTAATTAAAAATGTTGATGCTTCTGGCATGGAAATAGATGCAGAAATTTTTTCGCTAAAAGGATCAAATATTCTAATAAAGATATTGTATCCGTACATTACGAGGTAATTAGCATCCGAGATTGGATTTTCAGGTGGCTTTTGATCACCACTGGCGTGACATAACGCGTCAAGCCGGAATGCCATACTTTCATAGCGGCAACATATTTCGTTTTGTCCGAGGCAACGGAAAATTACCAAACCCTCTTTTTTCGACCCGATCGAATCTTTCCACGAGAGGATTATTAAAATCGACGCACTTTCTCCTGCCGGAAAAAGCTCGTGCCTATGTCGTAATCATTGTCCTGTTGCAAAGATAAAGCACCTTGCGGACGTAACTCGACCACGGGTCGCGATACACGTGTTTATAAACATATGGTCACCACGATCCACGAAGATAGCGAGAGTGTCGGAAGTTCCGTGGCCGAGCTAACCGGGGAGAAAGTAAAGAAGATATATTTATTCGGTCTACGAACTGACATGCATATGTTTAGCGATGGGCTCGAGCCAACAATCAACGTGAGCAAATAATGTTAAGAACCACTCAAATTTTCATGAATTTTTCATTAACGGAGATTGATGATCGAAATACAAAATTAATAGAAATAATTGCTGGAGACTTAATGTTTTATATTGCTGGCGAAATAATAGCCGTAAAACACAGCTTGAAATTTCTTATGTCACAAAGAAATTATAGTCATAAAATAAGTTATAAAAGAATGTACTCATCATGCATAGAAAATAATAATCGTTCCAAGAAATTTATATATAATTCATAAATCTCGATATTGCAAATAATTAATGGCGAAATTGTTTCAATATTACGTTGTATAGTTTGTATATTTAGTTGATAATGTATTGTATAAACCGTAAATAGTGATGTTTGTTATGGTGCAATTAAAAGAGAATGTTACAAAATGCATAGTTACCAAGTGGATTAGTAAGACGGTCTAGTTAAAAGATTATAATCTACTGATCGGCCTTGCGCATGCGTAAAAGGGTCTACGCACGATGTGAGTCGAGTGGAGCAATCCAATTTCATCATTGTTTTTTGTAGATTGGAGATCAAGATTAGATTCGTTGAAGCATCCTTTCAAGGACATTCTGGGAAACAGATCCAAAACAATTTGGAATGTTTTAAAGACATTTCCTACGTCTCTTCTAGGATTCATTAAAATTACTTACCGAGGATTTCTGGAACTCAATATATACTTTTCAAGGAGTTCTGAGGTTTTGAAGAAGACTCTTCCAAGGATTCCTGTAGTTCCTTCAGAGTCGTCTAGAGCAGGGGTGTCAAACTCGCGGTCCGTATCAGGACGTAAACAATAATTTAACTTTATATATGTTTATTACAATGTACTAGTCAAAATAAAAATATTTGTTTCTATGAACATTGATTTTTTTTGCGACCCACCTAAAGTTAAGCATTGTTTATTTGGCCCAAGTTAGCTTTTGAGTTTGACACCCCTGGTTTAGAGTTACTTCTTTTGGGGTTTTATAGAGAAAGATCACCTTTATTGATCGAAGAATCCTTGCAATATTTTGAGAAATTCCTTCTAGAATTCTATGGATAATTTATTTAGAGAACTTATTTAGAGAGAATTTATTCATCGAAGCTTAAGGACTTTTGATGAATTTTATTATACAATACTGACGACCCTTAACCCTTAGGCTACTGTGGGCGCCCATAGGCGCTTAGGAATTTTGCGTTTGTGACACTCGGAGCGCCTATAGGCGCTCGATGCAGTTTTGTTTTCTGACACGGAGGGCGCCTATAGACGCCCAGAAAATTTTATCGATATTTATTTCGATAGATCTTATCTCAGTTAGACGAGAAACAAGTTTTACATTAATATTAAATTTGTAACATTTATAGTAATTCGATTCAGAGAAATAAATAATATTGTTTTAATGTAGCGAAATTTAGTTTTTTAAATATTGAAATATGTTTTCACAAAAATGCATCCCTATCCAAAAGTTCGCCGTGCTCGGCGTACATCGTAACTCAATTTCTGCCGTATGGTACGGCCGACGCGTCTCAAAGTCTGCCGTAGTCACGGGGTTAAAGAATTCGTTTTGGATTTCTAGGATTCTTTACAAAATCCTTGGATGAATCCTTGAGAAGATTTGAGGAATTAATTAATGCAAAGCTAGTCGATAGTTTAAGAAATTTCTCCATGGATGTCATCCACATCAGCTACATCGTCGTAAATTCCGTCTACCAGTTAAATTCTATTCTATCAGTAAACAAAACTTCCTCTGCCATCGATGATTAAACTATTCGTCGGTCATAGCCATCGCTTCGAATAGGAAAAGACATGCCACGCGTTCTGTTATAAGACACCGCTACCAAGTTGGTAAATGGATACGTGTAACACGTAGGCCCGACAATGTTACGTAAACGCGTTCGGCTCAATCGGCGAGGAAGAAACTCGTTGGCCTTTCTAGGGTGAAGCTCGCCGCGGTCTTTGTCGTGACCATGCGATCGTGAAAGCGAAAGTGACTGTCTCCGTGAACCCGATCGACCAACGAATCTCGGGGAAGCTATTCTTCGCGACACATCGTGATAACAAATTATCAACAATAGCCGTCGCCGACAAAAAAGCAGGCACGCCGAACTAGAACAGTGCATCAACGTGTTCATCTAAACTGCGTGAAAGCGCGTTACAAAACCGACACACAATTAATGGAACAGTTACGTGGCCGAAGCGCGAAATGTCATATCGGGGCAGTAACGCAGGAAGATATAATCTGCGAGAAACGTACTGAATAATTATATCTTGGGCGTTTTTTGCACGGCATTATTACATGCCGAATACTTCCGATAATACCACAATTTCTGCCTCTCTCGTGTTTCTCTTGCACGTGAAAAGGCGCCTTGTGCACTTTCATCACCAATTAAATATATAAACATCAATGGAGATTTGCTCTTACATGTGCACACTTTCATCGCCAATTATACATATATATGTACCTTTATGCGGATATCTCCACCAACAATTTATATACAACGCGTTAGGTCACGTAACTTGCATACCTCGGATACCTTTTAAATTATGTTTTTTTTTTAAATAGAAAATCGTTACGTATAAATGTTACGTTAACATTTGCCTCCTTCGAGACCGTGCAACTCTTGTATTTAACAATTTTTCCATAAAATGTAATTCATACGTTGTTTGTGGTATGCAAGTTACGTGTATATAAGTCAGTTTGTACATTATATTCTTTGATGATTATCTCGAGGTAGACTTGTTCGCTGAGATGTTGAAGATGGCGACATTTTGGGAAGCTTTAATATGCGGTGGAAAACGTAAACAATATTTCTGTTGTGCTCGACGATGACGCTGTGAACGGAAATTATCATGTGATTTCAATATTTACAACGTAGTACATTTATTACTAGAAGAAATACATTTTCATCTCGTTCCTGTTTCTGACAATCGAGTTAGAAGATGTTTAATCCGCCTAAAGACTCGCACTCTAATTTCGAGTTAGGTGACTTTCTCTATCGCGGTCTCGAAAGTTGCATAGTCGGTCTGAGCACTCAACGGTGACATCATCTCTGGTGCAGTGCGTAAGACACGCGTTTTTAGTCAAATATTTCATAACCGCTGGTCGACGGATAGATCCAACTGTCGAGCAGTATCGGTAGCGAACGATATTATAGATCTCGTTAATTATGGTAACTGGGTTTCCTGATTAACAGTGCTGTCAATCCTTGCAGGAAACAGCACAGAAAAGTGTTGGAGTGCCTTGGAGTCACGCGGCGTTGGAATTACGCCATAAATTTCGCCCACCTTCTTTGCCACCGGCAGAGCATGCGTTTCGTTCGGCCAATTTCCCCGTGACGGCTTTCCTCCTCGTTCGGCAGCGCGCTTGCCTCTTCGGCTCTATTCCGTCGGTCTCGAGGCGTCGATCGAGAACCGATCGCTCGATCCTCGCGAAGCTCCTCGAAATCCCAGTGAGTCATCGAAACAGTCATGACGAAACAAACCGGCGGTCACCGTTAGGAACCATTGAGAACCGCTTCCTAAAGCTATAAGAGAAAACACGCCCAGAGGAGACAGTTCTTCGACGACAGGTGGAAGAACCTAACCTGTGAATCGTTTTCATCCTCGTCGATATGATCGACGCCGGTTCGGCTCTGTGATCGCGCGATTTTATTGATACATTTCTGTTTTTCCTTGTGCCTGTTTGCGGGACTGTTTTGCAACGTCCGAGTGAGAGTGAACTCCGTTTCTTATCACGGGAACCTGTTGACACGGTGTCTATCGGCGATCGACTGATGCAGAAGCCGATCGGCCACGCGGATCGAAAGTTCCCGGCACAGTGAACCCGCTACGGCGTTCGCGATTAATTCAGATTAATTAAGGCCGCTCGAGGACGTCGACACAGGGTAAGTAATCGGTCAACAATCTTGCGAACACCTGATAAACATATCTCGATCTCTGTCGTGCACAGGCGGTTACATCAATGAATTTTGTTTGCCTTTAACGACTCGACACGTTTGTTTTGCATGTTTCCAGAAACTAGAAACTTCGAATTTTCTGTTGGTAGAAAGCCACTGACTTTCTCGCGAATGCTCGCCGACGGTATTCCGTTGGCTTCTGATTATAAAATCTGACGGTATGCAAGGTTCCAATCGGCTGAATTGGGCAACGTATAAATTAAGTATCGTTTTTGAACGGTTGTTACAATCGTAAAACCGTATCGAATTGCTCGTGGCGGACTGGCCCGATCGGTATCGGAGGAACCGGAGCATCCACTTTCTTTTTCCGAGCGGTTGCGTAACGCAGGTCCCCTCGCGGGCCCTGTTGCAGGCCCCTGCGCGCTCGGTTTCGGGCTGGCCAACTGCCACTTTTCTTCTGACTGGCTGAAAAACGATCAGGTTATTCACAAAACCCGCGAGAACGGGCATCCTGTTCCTCGAACGGAAGGCTATCGGCTTTCCTGCCGGCCAATACGATATTCCCACATGGTTTTACATAAGCCCGAGACTTCCGGCTTCTCCGATGAACTCGATTTTTTGGTAGGCGATAACGGACCGGCTGAAATCCTGTCGGTCGGTAGATATATTTCCTCTTTCGAATTCTTGGCTGTGACAGACGGCTGGCTCTTTTCAGCTTCTTAGCACTGACTGCCTTTCTTTCCCCAGCTCTCACTCTTCCTTTCCTTTTCCCGCTCTCTTTCTCTCTTTAGTTTCTTAATTTCTTCATTTTCTGCTTCACTGTCCAATCAATTGTTTATTTTCCCGTGTTTACTGTCAATCAACTTTTCAATGTCGTTATATTCACTATTTTTCTACTCTCTTTGGTAGTCAGTCTCTTTTCTATTCATATTCTTCTTTTTTTCAGCTATTTCCTTATCAATATTCCACCTTTTTATTGCTTATGCTATTTAAGGTGTCAATTTTTCTTCAATTTTTCGTTCAATCTTCAGTTTAATCTTCAGTTCGATCTTTAATTCAACTTTCTTAATTTTCACTCACTTTCTCTATGTTACTCTCTGCCCATTTATTTTTCTCTTTTTTGCATCCTTTTCTCGATCTTCCTCTTTTTCACACCCTCATTCAGGCTCTATCCTTATTGCTCTCTCTCTCTTTTATTTTTCTGCCTCCTACTCTCCCCACTTTTCCGGTGTGCCCACTCGTTGGCTTCTCTCTTTCTCCTCTCTTTCTATTTTCTCGACCTCATTTCTCTAGTCTTTGACTTCGTTTTATGATCTCGCCGATTAGTCTTTCTCTTCTCAACTGTCTTCCTATTTCTCAGATTTTTTTCTTCTTATGTTTTTATTGCTTGCCTTCATTTTGATTTTCTGTCATCTTTCTCTGTCTGGTTCTTACCGTCTTAATTCCACTCTGTCTGTTATTTCAACTTGTTACACTTTTTACTTGTTAATTTCTTTTCTTTCAATCCGTCTGTTTCTCTTCTTATTTCTCAGCCTTCCATCGTCTTCCTCTTTTTCACTCCGTCTTTTAATCTCACTCATCCGCTTTATCTTCTACTGCCTCGTTCCTATTGTCCTCCTTTTGACAACCTCTATATTTGTCACTCTATGTTCCCTTTATTCAATCTATCTTTTCTTCTAGCATTTAATATTACTTATTCCTATTTCGTCTCTGTCGCACTGTTTTCTAATCTCTCTTATGTAGTTTGCTTTCTATTGTCCGATTCTTATCGTTCCTCCATTTTACTCTATTTTCAGCCCAGTTTATCTACTTTATTTCCCTCTGTCTGGTTTTTATTGTACATCTTCTCTATTCCCATTTATAGTCTAGCTCACTTACTTCGTTCTGGCTTATGTTCAATGTTTCTTATTCTTATTGTACCTCCATTTCGCTGCGTTTTCTACTCGGGCTGATCTAATTTATTTCTCCTACTTTGGTTCTTATCGTTCCTCTAATTCTAGAGGAAATTTCCCCTATTTCCTACATTTAATCCGATTTATCTACTTTATTTCTCTTGGGCTGGGCTCTATTGGCCACTGTTCCCATTTTACCTCATAATCTGGCTAATGTACTTAATTTCTCTCTATCTAATTCGTATCATCCACCTTTCCCACTTTCCCAAATTCCTGCTCCCTTTCTCTTTCACTCTGACTGCCTCTTTCCTGTATTTTCCAGTCATCCCCGTTTTTATCCCATCCCTTTTTTTACTTCGTTTTTTAGTCTTGCTTTTCACCTCTGTCTATCTCCGTCGCTCTACAACTTTTCCACTGTCGCTCGCTCTCTTTCCTCAGAGTTCGAAAGTTACCCGGCGTCGATCCGCAGCGAAAATACCTTGCACGTTTACGCATCCGGTCGTGGTGTGGCACCACACGACGATCAGAGAAGAACGACCGTCCGACCACATAATAGCTGTACTACTTACAGAGCCGGCTACCAACTATAGCTAGACCCAGCAACGACCGTGGTTTTCTTGGTTCTTCAACGACAATTTGCGTTCGTGAATGATTGGCAGAGCTCGTTGAGTTTCGTCCCTAACCGATGCATTGTCCCGTATTTCTAGTTAATGAGACTGTGGTTGGCCAGTGGCGACACACTACCTCCTTTCTAAACAGTATTCGCACTTTCGTGATACTGATTATCTGATAGTCGTTGCTTAATTCGGCGACGAACGTAGGCGAATTGACATGCTGCCCGTTAATGGGAAGATTGGATCGGGTATATTCTACATTGCTGGCGAAACGGTGGAATAGGGACGGTTGGATTGTTTCTAGGCCTTAAAATTAAGAAACCGTCAGTTTTGAAATGTCTGATGATTGCGAAAAGTATGTCTATGTTTTAAACATTTCAATTGAAGCGTTAATTTTGTAGGAATATCGTTAAATAGGGTCGGTTAGTATGTCTGATCACTGTGGACCGTTTCTACTGATGCTAGCAGATCAGCTCTTGAGCTTAAATTTTTATTGCAAATGCTGTTTTATTTGCAAAAATTGTAATCGAGGTTGACGATTAACGTACATAATTAACGTATATTAATTTAACAAAACAAAGTTATATTTAACTCTTTCACTTTATGCGTATGTACATTATTTTTTTAGACCATGAGAGATATCAGAAGTTGCGTACAACCTGTCTCATCACTTTCCTGCATATTTTCATACGTATGCAACCTATTCATATTATAATTGTCTGTCAGATAAATAAAACGTTGCATTACATTTTATGTCTTTTTTTTATGCGAAACAAATTATGCAAACGTTTATCTACGTATTAATGTTTAAACTGTCACTTAATATAGATTATATAATTAAAGATGTGCACCTCTAATTCAAGTTTGCATTATACTTATTTCGTCAACGACCATACCCCGTTGTAAATTACCGGTTCTCGTCCGATCACCGAAGTCAAGCAGCGGTGGGCGCGGATAGTACTTGGATGGGTGACCGCCTGGGAACACCGCGTGTTGTTGACACAATTTCTTTTTTACTTTTTGTTTCTTTGCATGTAATAATTAATGAATATTGATCAATCGATTCCGATATTGTTCTTGCAATATTTTAATCCTAGAATAAAGTTTTCGTGACACTCATTTCTTCTCCACGGTAGTATATTGACAGTCGTATCAGCAAGCATATATGTATGTTCTGCAGAATCACAGTTAATTGTTGAGTGAAACAAAAAGCGGAAAACTAAAACAATGACATTAACATTAATAATACAATTGCAATTTCTAATCTATTGGAATCTGTTTGCTGCTTGCATATCGTAACTAAATTTGGTACAGTTCATGAATCAGTAACACATTAATTTCCAAATATGAACTAATGATTACACCATCCATTTATAAATGTTAAAAGCAATTTCCTCAAGATCAATTATGTATGAAATTGTATGTCTAAATAATTTTAAGTCTTAAATTAGATCTCGATTAACATTTTCTACCACGTGCAACATTAAGCTTAAATTATATATCAACAATCATGAACAATCAGCGTTCATAATAACCAGATTGTCATATAAAGTAGTCATTCATCACGAAACAATTCCGCCCCCTACAAGCAATTAAACATTTCCCCACGACAGCACGAAAAGACAGAATCTGCAATTACATTTCACATAACATCACTCATTAAATTGCTAATCCGACGACAATTACAATCATTACGATTGTAACATTCATTTACAATCTTATTATAATCTCGTCCAGATCTATGTAGATCGTTCCGCAGCCGAGCCTTGTAAAAACCAAATTAAAAAAATAGCCACATGATTCTCTCGTTGCGCAAACGCGCGATATTTATTCTAAACCGAGGCTGTTCACGTAAAAAACAAACATCGTTCTCGTCCATGAAGAGCAGACACTTTCGTAACGTGTTCCCATAAGATCGACCTCTTCCTCGATACGTGACGCGTATTAATAATAACTATCACTAAAAACAACGTACATCAATTGATGTACGTTGCACAATTGTGCAAGCTTCGAAAAGTACCCGGTGTACTTTGCATAATTTTCAGTGTTCTCCTCGGTAATCTTCGAAATCATTGAAACCACCGGTGTAGATCGGTTTGTCGCCGTGAGAAAATGAAACAAAGAGGAATTAGGCGATCCACGTGATCGAGGGTTTCGTAATTCCTCCCTAAGGGTTTCCTCGGCTCGCGACGCATGTAAATCGCGAACCTGGGAAGCGAATCGTGACCATTGTGCAACGCGATGACAATAGGGACAACAAGCATGATGCGAATAAGACAACGTGTGCACGTAGCATCCTGCGACCACCTGCGATCTAGACCATCGCAATCGGCAATTAACTTTCCAACCGGCGCAATTGAAAAACGCATAATCGGTCGCGATGACGTGTTAAAATTATTGCGGCATACGATTTTAACGCAATAACGATACTGAAGCAATGATTGACACCAATGCCTATGATCAAGATGGAATCACTGTTTCAAATCCTTAATCGACCGAAGGGCAAAGTACAGTAAATTCTCCCTAATTGACGCTCAGACTGTGCACAAAAATGAACAATTTGGGAAGAGGAAATACGATTATTCGAGCTTTGCGGATCGTTTTTATAACAATCTGTAACTATAAAAACGTATTCAGAAGATATACTACCCTTCGTTGGTGCATAAACAAATTGGTAGTAATACTAATTTCAATAGAATAGTAAGCTAATTTTTCTATACTAGATATCTAAATTGTTCAGAGAGGGATCTAATCTTGATTGGTTCATAAATAATCACTGTCAAATAGTCATCAAAATGTTTAAGTTAATTACAAAACCGTAACGAGATTAGAAGGATTTAAGGATATTGTTACATTGTCACCAACTTATTACAATACTTTATTTTGCCTTAAGATCCGCTTATTAAAGATTATCGAAATAAAAGATATGCATAGCATGCATTAGTTTAGGTGCAGTGATAATATATTGAATTATTTCATTTTCTTTCTGACTGAAGCACATCTGTTTCGTTTTCTTTCTGTATTATGCACAATATTGCATTATTGATTTTTATGCATATGCCAAAACAAAGGCAATATGGACTATTTCAATATCAATTGTTCCTCAATGTTCCCAAACAATATTCCAACTAGAAACTATAAATTCATCACTGAAATTTGTGTGTAAAATACAAATTGCACTGGATGCATCAAAGTAGGTGTTCTGCATTTCATAATGAAATTGATTCTAGGTCATAGTAATTTGCTTAGGTTCCATTTCTTGATTTACGATTTCAGCGAGTTTCTAATCGACAAAATTTCCCATAATATCAACATCTGTCATTGGCTATGTACATATATGCATACATCGCGACTCTGTCTCAAATTTTTGTGAATCCAAGGTGATCTGAAAAATACTACTTTCAAGATTATGGTCAAGGTGAAAGTACGGTTCGTCCCGATTAACTTGGCGGGTCGGTACAAGCGAGCAGCGATAATTACCGGCGAATCCTGTTTCAGACTGTAATCGTGCGCGGCGTAAAAATAGTTGAGCGACTTCGGACGGAAACGGAACATTTCAATAGCCAAGAAAGAGTTGGTTCTTACCATGTAATTAAGGTTTAACACTGGAATCTAAGAGCTATCGCAAATCTATGGCAAATCGCATTTCTCGACGCGATTATTCTGACAGTAAAGTACTCTCTTGCAGCGATCTTCAGTTAAAGAAAGTATTATATTCGTTTACGACCACGTTTTCACGATGGTATCTTGATCCTTTCAGTAGAAATTAATTCTTTTCGAATTTTAACAAAATGTTTTTAACGTGTTCAATTACATTTTTATCAACTGGATCCCATGCAATTAATTTTCTGCCGCCTATAGAACAATTCATCATCTTTCTAATATGTTCTTCTGTTCCTTAAGTCTGCTGTTCCTTAAAAATTTCGCCTCTCGCTGGCAAATTAACTATGGCTTGCGAAGCAAAAGCGACCGATCCATGCCTCTGAAAACAAAGACAAATATTTGCATGAAATTTGATTAGCTTACCAATTAGGTTACTTTCCCCAGCATCTTCGACGCGAAAGCAAATATTTGTTCCTCCATACTGGTCCATTACGAATAGCTTCCGACAAGGATCGCCTTTCTGATCGGCAATTACAAGACAGGAAATCCGAAAATTGCACTGTTTCACGGGCCGAGCTCAGTGTTAATGCGAATCGTTAAGAATAATCGCGGTTAATTGCAGGCACGGCACGGCGTCTCAAGTCTCTTCGGAGCAATGTCGTGGCTCGTTGCGATGCTCGTCGTCGCTTTAATTAGGGTAATTAAATCGCGGCAACACGCTCGACGGCGAGGTTTTGTCGTGTCTCTGTTAACGAACCACCACAGGTCCGATATGTAAAGCGAGAAACAGCGGCGTGGTCCAATTTGGAGAAACTGGCCGTTGCGTAATCGGCGTGACGTTACGATGGTTCGGCCTCATATGAGATAACGCTGTGAGAAAGTGGCTGGCTGCAACTCGACGGTCACCCAGCTTATGGTTTTGCAACGATAGTAGCGATCGTAATGGCCGGCTGATAGCCGAAAACCAAACCCTCGGCGACACTGCACGCATTCGAACGGCCTCTGCCGTTTTCGCAAGTGCACAAGGTGGGCGATGCTTACGAATAAGCAATTATATAATCACTGGCTCTCGGACTTTCCTTATTAGTTTCAGAGCTCTCCCGTGAGAATAGGACGCGTAGTCTGCCGGATATCGATGGACGGAGATCAAAGGTGATCGGTATTTATAAATTCCTCGAAACCGCACGGGGTGGTTCAGTCACTTTCTTCCGTTCAGAAGTTGTAATACTTTCTTCTTTATTAATCGGTTTTCAATTCGTCTTTCGTACGTTTAGAGATTTTACTTTGGGAATTCGTTGTGGGATAATTCGCAATACTGCAGAAAGTAAAGGTACTTCGTTGGTCAAAAAATATGACATCTTCTGATGCAATTATTTACTCAAATTTCAAATTTAATTTTCATGCTAATCTATCGTATTTTCCTAATTTTATTCGGATCTGCGATAGGTAAGAACGTTGAAAAACCAATCGAGGTCATACAACGTAACTTCTTAGTTTTAATTTGACTAAATCAAATACTTTAATTTTATGAAATTTTGAGGTTGTTGGCCTGGCAGTCAAGCTGTTAAAGAAATTTAATTAAATCCGATTGAATAAAGTTTTATAAGATGCCCAGATTTGATGCTCATTACTTTCTTGACCTTGATGTTGGACATTTTTGGCTTGATATATTTTATAATCAATAGGTTGCTGGTTTACGGCATTGATGACAAAATTGAATAGTTGCAATTTTAAAATAGTAGAAGAAATAAAATTATTAAGCGATAGAAAAGTTATTCATCTTTTGAATGAAAGAGAGAATCGTACTTACACTACCTTGTATAAGACTAAAAGGATTTTCTTCCTGGATTTCGCTGTGACATGTCAAGGATGTGTTTTTTTTTAATTCCAAAATGGTACTTGCATTGACTAGATGCTGCAGCTTCTAAATGGTAACTTTCTATAATGATTGTAATTAATTATGTCCAGTTGCATTCTTGTGACTAGAAGAAACGTGTATGCTTACGTCACAGGATGATTCTACGATGAAATACGGAAAAGAAAGATGTAGGAACGCTACAATGAAGTAGACATTTAAGTATGAATTTGAAGGAGAAACGGAATTTTGTGTGACTTATTTGAGAGACCGTAGAAAGAGATCTTTGAGAATTATTTTCTTAAAAACTGTATGACCTCACAAAGAAGTTTAATTTTTTTAGTTAACAATAGTGAGATAGTATAAAGTTGTGAATGACTTCGTGGAAATCTTTATAAAAACGGCGGTAATCATTGCTGCTAAATTCTAGTTCGTATCAAATTAAAAAGAAATGGATAAGCTTTACGCATTATACATAGTATTTCTACCTTGTTCTCGAATGGAAAACTTTTTTCTTCTTCAAATATTATTTGCTTTGATTGACTGAATGAGCGACTCGGTTAATAATCGTCGCCTCATTTTTAAACGTCCGCCATTTTGTCTTAAAGTAATATTTCAAGAAATAGTTAATTCAAGAAAGAGAAAGGATATAGTATACTACATAAAACATATAATTTTTCGTTTTAGATGAAATAGTACCAGCAAGACACCTTATCCGACAATATGTTTCGAAAGATCAGCCATAACTTTCTACTTAATAAGTATTTCGAAACAAAAAAATTACGAGATACTCTCCAAAGTGAACCATTTCAAATCTGGTAATATTTATTGAATAAAATCGTACAGTCTTTGAGCAAAAAATTCGCGAATATCGCCAAACTCAGCAAAACAAAGACTTCAACCCTTGTATTAACATCTAAACTATTCTATGACGTACAATAACAAAATAGCTATTATGCTTCATATTTCCAGCACACATTTTTTTACTCCGAATATGAGGAAGAATTTAAGATAAGCCGAAAACAAATAAAGGCAAACACAAAGTAAATCACGATATAGATGTCCCTCTGACGGCCGCTCTAAGGGCTGTATTCATAGTCGAGTCGTATGGGACGGTCATAACCATGGTCTTAAGTCGCCGCCTAGATTAATCGTATACAAGTATCGTTGTCTTCACGAAGGCAAAAGACTTATAAATAAAACTCGACTATGGGTATGGCCCTAAATCCCGAAAGATGAACCCTAAATCTCCATCTCTCAACTCCCACGCAACGAAACCATTTCCACGACAAATACAGCATAATTAGAATATTCCAGAGGCAGTGAACCAGTCAACCGGCGAGCACCTTCGCCACTCCAAATGCTTCAATGTATCCACTATCAGTGTCACTTTCGTTTCACCGGCTGCCCCACCAGCGCCTACGATGGGCGTGATGATTTGCTCCTGGTAGAGGATACGAATGTTTTGAAACGCCTCTCCCAAGGTGGTCGCATCTCCGCGATCTTCCCCTGGAGTGTCCCCATTGCATAATACCGCGAATCTGTTCGCTTGGATCCCTGCCACGAGGACTTCGGGTCCGATCTAGCGATTTCGAGAGCCGAGGGAACGAGGCTGCGCGGGATTCGCGGAGGAAATCGAACCCGTGCCCCACCCGGGACAAGCGAGGCCGGCCGCCGCGATTCTCGAAGCTCGATTCTCGATTCTCGAAGGGGCACACATGCTCGCCTTCGTTCCCCTTCGGCTCGCTAAATACATCGGGATCTCCTTCACCGTGGTCCTCAAACGAGGCTCGCGCTCCGTCAGGCACACATCTCTCACGCACTCGCCGCTCACGCTCTCGCCCGTAAGTTGATCGCTCGCACACCATCGGACTGACACCTCTGGCTTCCTTTTTTCTTGCCGGCACCACGTGGCTGATCTCTGACACACTGACAGTTCGACGGTACACCGTTCCCTGACGCTTTCGCACCGCCAAACGCAATCGGTGAAACATCCTACGCTCGGCAAAGACTCGCGTGTTTCGAGATCTTTATTCCGAAGTGAACCTGCGAAGTGAACTTTGAATAATTTTACGCGGTCGATGTCGTGTGCATTAGGCTCTTTGACAGCCCGTCATTTGACAATTCGCTGACTTCTGACGATCTTGTACGATAAAACGCGATCGGCGGAGCGCGGTTTAATAACTTTTACTCTAGTGGACCTGCGAAGTGAAGTTTGAACAATATAACGCGTTCTCGGTCCCGTGTCCCTCAACCGTCTTTGACAGTTTGACAGTCTGACAATTCACTGAATTCTGACGCTCTTGTACAACGACGGCATCATGCATTGTTTATTTCGCGTTCTTCATCCTCGAGTGCACCTACGAAGTGAACTTTGACAAATTGAATATGTTAGACGTCGTGCGCATTAGGTTCTTTGACAGACTCCCACTCTGACAATTATCTGACACCAGTCTTTTCCATCGACACTAGACGTCAAAGACAGATCCGCACATTTTCAGTTCTTAACTCGTAACCTGCAAAACGAACTTTGAAACTGAAGTAGGTCATTTGATTGATTAAACTCGTTCATTATTCCGTGTAATATACATACTTGTTGATTCCCTGACGTTGTTACGAAATATACCATAAAAGTGAAGCAGCCGATTCGATCTATTTAACACGTTCACTGTCCCGTACGTCAAACGTGATTGATAGTTGTTGCATTGCCTTGAGTAATGTCTATTTTAACGTTAACCAGATTCGTGTTATATCGAAGACTGTATCATTGGATCAATTATTGCATTGCTCTCTTTTCTTTAATTATTTGATTCTCTTTACGCTCCGGTCGAAGGTTAAGAAGTGTATGGAAATATAAAACTGACAGAAAAATTAGACGTCTATGATGAGCTGCAGACAGATTGCCAGGCTAATCAATATCGGAAACCTTAACTTTGCAGTTGTTGCTTCATGAAAGAAATTGCTTCGATTTCTCACAAATGTTGTGATTGTTAAGTCGTAAACATGTTTCAGCTGCACATGTCGCAATAGTCCACTTAGTGTTCGAATAATAAGGAACAAAAGGATTTCGATTTTGACTGAATCATCGTTGTATTCGTAGATATACGAATATACATACTCTGTCCACATAAACAATATTGATAGTATATTATAGGATGTTATATTAAATTAAAAACATCGTTCTGTTGTTTTCACCCATTTACCTTTAACACTCCAATTGAACCAATCTTCTCACACTCACAGCCTCATATTGCAACCAAATGCATCAATATACGACAAAATCACAAAGAAACAAACTATTTCCACTATATAAAACAGAAAATGGGTGAATTCTTAACGTGAATACCTCATATGGGTTAACAAAACAGTCAACTCTGCTTTAAATTAAACCAAACACTGTCCAAAGGCTAATCTCTAAATTAGTCTCCACCATTTCTCGTCTCACTATCAATTTGAAGCTCCTAAGTCTAACTCGTAACTCAAAGCTAGTTTATACTACACTGTTTATATTCAACCTAGGACTAAAAAAGAATCGCCACGTGATTCTACAGGTTTCACGAACCTTCCTCAGCCCGATGCTTGTTAAAGTCAGCTGTTTTACCGATTACCGGATTCGTTTCGCCAGGTCTTTCGGACGATTCCGAATCAGACACTGACTTTTACTTTTGCCGTATTGGAAGGGTAACATAATCGTGGATTGGCGGTGTCGCCGTGGTCGCCGGGTCCCGACACAAAGGCGCACACGTTGTTCAAACACGAATTTTCATTAATCCCCATCGGCCATCCTTTCACTTGACATTTCGGCTCGGCTTCGGTTCGGCGTTTCTCGCGTACACCGGCTTTGTATTTACACCGGGGGGAGGGGGATGGTACCGCTTGCTCAACGACGCGTTGATTTCCCCAGAGCAAACAAACTGAATCGCAGAAAGCGGAAGAGGAGGAGACAAAATGAGGATCAGTTGCGTGCTGTTCGGCCTCGCGTTGGTGGCCGCGATCGCTGTAGCCAGTCCCGTCGTCAAGAGGGAAGCGGAGAACGAGGACCTCAGCCCCCTAAACGAGGTAAGGATCGATCACGAAACCACCTCGATTAATCGCGGATATCTGGACTCCGATAACCTTGGGGTTCCGTAGAAAGCGGCCGGCGAAATCGAAAGTGTAATCGAGTTTAGAAGCTTCTGTGACGTAATTTCGCCGGCGATCAATTCTTCGGATGTCCCGCGTTTGTAAAACCGTCTGATCCGCATTTCTTAGCTTAGCGATCAATTGGTCCTTTTCGACAGAGCCAAAGCTTTCGTTCTTTTGCCCTGATGTCTTTATTACGTCCTTGGTTGAAGGGTTGCTGACATTTGTGACATGTTTTGTTCTAATGCCGAGAGATTAATGCTTGCGAAATTGTCCACTATGTGTCATCCATGTTTCTTGTCGTTTTGTTTCTAAAGTTGTTTGTGTTCGATGAACATCCAAGATTGTTTCAGATTCGGGTTCGTTGACTTCCGTGGCTTTGTTACTAACAGTAGGTGGACAATTGTGAAATCTGTAATAAATAAACTTTATGGAATACGATAGTCCGTGTAGGAACTGCGTGTGAAGTGACAGTTGTGTAAGAGGCAAGGCACAGCTTATAAATGTCTAACCTACTTGACAGGAGAGACAAGATTTCTTTTGTTTGTATGTATAATTAACTCTATGGCTTGTGGTTGGATAACGGTCAATATAACACCGAGTATAACAGGCGACAGAGATATGACTATGGATCGTTGAGTAGCAAATGTTATCCGAAAAATTCGGTATTGTCATTCACAGAGATATTATTTACAGGACAGCGCAGTCAGTATATCAAAGCTTCCGGTATAGAGTGTGAATAGTGAATGCCTGCGAAGTTTGTGAACGTTAACGGTGCAGTATGGCAGAAACAAAAACAAAACTTCGTTAAAATCGCCGGTTACGTTGCGTGGTAATCGTTACGTGTAAAGAAAACGGCGAGCGCCGACGGAGTCGAAATGGAACTCATAAACAGAACGTGTCGGGAATAGCGAAAGTGAAAGCGTCAAAGCAAAGTTTTATTATATTGCCGGTACGACGACGAAGAGGAAAGCGGTCAGAACGCGTCTAAATCAATCGACAATGTTGCTTCTGTTTGATCATGGTTTTAAATTAGCGTCAACGACGAAGAAAGACGAGTCGATATCGAACGGTAAGAGAGGATAGGGACTGCGATGAACGACCGGAGAGAGAAAGTGGTTGAAGTTTGCAACTTCGTGGGCGCGAATGAAGCCGGATACAAGCGCGTAACTGAAATTCTGCACGTGGTCACTTGTAGAACTTTGGACTTTCTTTCTTGTTCTATCAGTGCCTGCGTTTTCTCAATTCTCTAGATTTTCTTGTATTTGACACTCTACTTATTTGGTTTCCGATCATCGTCGTTCCTTGATCCCGCTGGATCTCTAGTTCACTAAAGCTCGAGTTCTTAAAAGCTCTAGTTTTCCAGGTCCCAAGTTCTAAAATCTATGGTTCTATGGTTCTACAGTTCTATAGTTCTTTATTTCGATAGGATTTTAATTTTTCAGGGCTCGATTTCTCTATTTCTCTGGGACCCAAGTTCTCTAGTTTTCTTCAGCTCGAGTTTTGAAGTCCTTTAGATGTGTGGTTCTATGGTTTTATAGTTCTCTGATGCTCTAGTTCTTTAACTCTCCGGTACTCGAGAATTTTATTTCTCTATTTCCCTATTTTTTAAATTCCGTATCTGTTTGGTACTTTATTTCTCTAGATCCCTACCTCTCTATTTTGTCAGTTCTCTATCTTTCTCGTACTCTATCTCCGCTACAAAGATAGAGTACGAGATAGAGTATCACCTATCCAGTTCTCCATATCTTTAGTACTCTGTTTCTATAATGCTCTACTTTTTTACCTCTTTGTTTCAGTATTCTTCTAGCTCTTCAGTTTCCTAATTATCTTGTTCTTTGAATTTCAATGTTTCTCTATTTTCCTACGTGGTTTATCCATTTTCTATTTTATTACCTTTTTCATTCGTTTCCCCTACATGTTTTCCTATCTCGTGTTTATTTTCAACTGCAGCTCTAGTTTCATCTAACTTATCTATATCTGTTCCTTCCTTTATCTCTGTCTATTTGTCTTTACCTTTTATTATTTCTCTAATTTAGTCAATTCTATAGTAAAGAGTATCTATCACTCCATTCATCTATTCTCATCTACTCTCTCTCTCTCTCTCTCTCTCTCTCTCTCTCTCTCTCTCTACTTCCATTTAGTCTCTCTTTCTTCCATTTTCTCTATGCATTTACCTATAATCCTGACTCCAATTCAAGGTCTTACTCCATCTGACTATCTTCCTGCATCTCTATTTTTCTTAATTATCATTTCCAGTTCCGTCTCTTTCCTCTCTTCCTCAATTATTTGCAAAACATCTCGATAGCCAAGCAGAATCGTCTCCGACTCGAGCGCAGGCTTCTTCGTACGCCAATTACCATTACTCATTTTCTCCTAGTTCAATGGCGACCACTTCCACGTATTTCTAACGCCGGCAATATCGACTGAACGATTCAGAATAATCGCGGAAGTCGCCGCGACCCGACATACTGTTTCTCTATCTCACCCTTTCTCTCCTTTCTCCGGTTACTCAATATCCCGAGTACGATCTTCCCGCCGCCGGAATAAAATCCGTGTGTATCTTATTTTAATTAAACCACCTGCCAGGTGTACGTCGTGGAAACTGAAGGCGACCAGGCGGCAGACGAAGAAAGAACCGACAGGGACAAGAGGAAAATCGGAGCCGTGAAACTGGGTATCTCGAACGGGATCCTGAATTTCGTCTTCGGCGTAAGATACACACTAACCGTATCACCTAATTCGCACAGAATCATTCCTCACCTCGAGGTTCTGGTTTTCAGAAGCTAGATACATTCATCGACTCGAAGACCAAAGCGCTGGCGGTCTTAGATGAATCGAACAAAGCGAAGAACGCTGCCTTTGGCATCGACCCTCATCAATCTGCTACCAGCAAGTTTCTCAGTGAATTGATAGCCTCAAAAATCCAGGCTGCGAGTGGAAGTATCGGCCCGGTGGTTAACAGCGCGTCCACGTTCCTCACGAGCGCTAAAACCGGATTGGCAGGAGCTTTTGCCTCAAAACTGGCGCCTTTAGGTGCGATTGCCAGTGGTGTCGCAGCTGGAACCGCTGGGAAAACCGGGGGACTGTTGTCTGCTGGTACAGGTACAGTTGATGAACAATTGACAAATTTAAATAACTCTAGCGGGGAAATTTTGGGATCACAAGTTCCTCGAGGCTCTAGCTTTCTCTCTTTTGAAAAAGTTGGAAATTGAAAAGGTTGACTGGCTATCGTAGCTAAAATGTGACTAAACGTTTGATGAATCCTAGGATATAATTATAGTATAGTAGAAAAGCTCATCTCTGCTTCAATTTTCAAGGAAGTTCATATTCAATTTCAATATTTATTGTCTTCATCAAACTTCTCAAATCTGGAAATAATAGCTGGAGTATAAANCTACTTCCATTTAGTCTCTCTTTCTTCCATTTTCTCTATGCATTTACCTATAATCCTGACTCCAATTCAAGGTCTTACTCCATCTGACTATCTTCCTGCATCTCTATTTTTCTTAATTATCATTTCCAGTTCCGTCTCTTTCCTCTCTTCCTCAATTATTTGCAAAACATCTCGATAGCCAAGCAGAATCGTCTCCGACTCGAGCGCAGGCTTCTTCGTACGCCAATTACCATTACTCATTTTCTCCTAGTTCAATGGCGACCACTTCCACGTATTTCTAACGCCGGCAATATCGACTGAACGATTCAGAATAATCGCGGAAGTCGCCGCGACCCGACATACTGTTTCTCTATCTCACCCTTTCTCTCCTTTCTCCGGTTACTCAATATCCCGAGTACGATCTTCCCGCCGCCGGAATAAAATCCGTGTGTATCTTATTTTAATTAAACCACCTGCCAGGTGTACGTCGTGGAAACTGAAGGCGACCAGGCGGCAGACGAAGAAAGAACCGACAGGGACAAGAGGAAAATCGGAGCCGTGAAACTGGGTATCTCGAACGGGATCCTGAATTTCGTCTTCGGCGTAAGATACACACTAACCGTATCACCTAATTCGCACAGAATCATTCCTCACCTCGAGGTTCTGGTTTTCAGAAGCTAGATACATTCATCGACTCGAAGACCAAAGCGCTGGCGGTCTTAGATGAATCGAACAAAGCGAAGAACGCTGCCTTTGGCATCGACCCTCATCAATCTGCTACCAGCAAGTTTCTCAGTGAATTGATAGCCTCAAAAATCCAGGCTGCGAGTGGAAGTATCGGCCCGGTGGTTAACAGCGCGTCCACGTTCCTCACGAGCGCTAAAACCGGATTGGCAGGAGCTTTTGCCTCAAAACTGGCGCCTTTAGGTGCGATTGCCAGTGGTGTCGCAGCTGGAACCGCTGGGAAAACCGGGGGACTGTTGTCTGCTGGTACAGGTACAGTTGATGAACAATTGACAAATTTAAATAACTCTAGCGGGGAAATTTTGGGATCACAAGTTCCTCGAGGCTCTAGCTTTCTCTCTTTTGAAAAAGTTGGAAATTGAAAAGGTTGACTGGCTATCGTAGCTAAAATGTGACTAAACGTTTGATGAATCCTAGGATATAATTATAGTATAGTAGAAAAGCTCATCTCTGCTTCAATTTTCAAGGAAGTTCATATTCAATTTCAATATTTATTGTCTTCATCAAACTTCTCAAATCTGGAAATAATAGCTGGAGTATAAAGACTTTACCTAAGCCTCTAGAACAGAACAGGTCGCCTAATCAGCAAATATCGCGTTCCTTGGATACTTGTAATTCAAAAACTTTAATAGATCGGGAGTTTTCCATCGGGAGACTTTTCCATCCTAATGGATCTCTAGCTAAATGAACCTTAATATGTCAAGATTTTTTGTTCTTAAGTGAACTTAAATTGGATAAAGCATCATCTCCGTGGAATTTACGAGTTACAGATGTCAGCCACGGAGGAGATAATTCAGCAGGTCTTCTAGGAAGCATCCTCAGCTCGAAACTCAGCAGTTTGTCCTCTCTGAGCCAAAGTTCCGGTGGAGGACATACCGTTGACACAGACGTGAAAGACGCCAACGCTGGAATAAATCTTGGAGCGTTTGCGAATATAGGCGGAGGGGTAGGATCACATTAAGTTTGTTTCAATTGTTTCTCTTCTCTCTGCTCGTGTTTCGCCGTCGACCTGATCGACGCCATTGCTTGAGACCTAATTTTCCGTGAATGTTCTTCTTCTGGTTGGGATTTTCCCTAGATATACTAAGGGTGGCTCTCCGAGACATTGTTTACAGGCCATTAATACTAGAAGAGTCTAATCGATTGACATAATCCTTACTTTGCGATCATTGAAATTATTTCTTACTTTATCGACTTTTTTTAAAGACGCTCAATATTGTAATAATTATACCGGAGATCTTGATACAAATTCTTATGTTTATACAGAATCTGACGAAAATTAAAAAAAAGTGAAAGGAAAAATATTGGTAAAGATAAAATGAAATCATTCTTAATTTTTATTAATTTCTTCCATTTTAGAAATTCATATGTGCTGTAAATGCCTCAAGATCCACGGTATAATAATAATATTACAATGAAAGCCCTATTATCGCGTTTACAAATTAATTTGGTGCTGCTAGTGTTAATGATTCAGCCTGTTCAACGTCAAGATTAACACTTTGACTGTCGATCGAGCTACAGATGAAATTGCATAAAATCAAAGTAAGTCTTTTAATGACATTAACATCACTGCAGAAATTAATATTTGAGTTCGGAGAAGTAATTCGTGGCACTCAAAGTGTTCATACAGATTAATTACTCTCGCGTGCATCCTCGCATGCCATTCATCACAGGCATCGCCCGAAAACAAACATTCCAGCATGTGATAATGGTTGTGGACACAGATAAATCATTCCGGAGTTAGTTTTTCTACGATCAATCTTCCATTACTTTTTGTTTTAATTTATTAACTCGTTCGTCTCTGTTCTACCCTTCCGCTTTCCATCCTCACGGTGTCTGAAAGGCTCGAATGAATTTCAATGAGCGACTATTGAACGCGGTTTGTAGCACGTCTTGATCGAGCAAAATGATATTGTAGTTTCTCTGAACGTTTCTCGAATCGGCCCAATGCGAACTGTCTTGTGCATGCAACGGATTGCATGCAGTAACCGCATTCCGTTTGTGTTGAAGATAAAACCGAGAAACCGGCAGCATGGCCTCCTTTAACACGGCGCTCGCGTTGCCCAATGCATCCGTAATTAATGTCATTTCGTTGCGCCGTTGATACACCTCAAAGGACGTTTATGTTCGAGACACGATAAACAATCGAAACTATGCGTAGAAGTGCAAGAATCAGTCGAATATTAATCAGTGCTTCTTTGGAATTATTTAAAAATACAACTAAATTTTGTTGTATACGTTTAGGCACGATTTAGACTCTTTTGTCAGAGGATTGGTCATTTTTTAATTCTGACTTCATAGAAAATAGATGGTATAGATAGTATAGTGTTAACTGTACGATAAAGTGATCTTTTTTGATTTTCAAAAATTTGTTATAATTCAAGCTGTCGTAACTTCGTTCGAAACAATCGAACAACGATAAATCTGGACTCATTATCAAGGTATCTTGTACCTTCGCAGGTAAATGCCTGAATGCATGTTTTGTTGGAAACATAGCGCAAATTCAAATGTTTTTAAAATATTTGGGAAATCTTTTTCGTAACTGAATCTGCCATAGATTCAAAGATTGAAACATTTATTTCATAACGACTCCAACGAACGTAATCGTTGATACTTACAAAAATCTTCATGGTGTATCCGAAGTTGTCGATACACCTTCTACTCAAAACTTGATAAAACGATTTAAAAAAACGCATATCAATCTTTTTTAAAGTCGTTGTAAAGAGGAAGCTTCAATCTTGAAATCCATGGTAGTCTTATTAACGAAATGAACTTTTCGTAGTGTCTGCAGACATTTATATGTCTATCATTTTATATGTAAAACATGTTCTGAATTTTCCAGCTGCTGTATCGTAGAAAAGAATTAACGATGGACTCCTAAAGTAGAAGACTCGAGTTTTAAAATGAGTTCATTATTTGAGCTGTTTATTTTGAAAGTGGCATAAGTCACTTTGTTTTTAAGTCGATATATTTAAGGGTTTGCGTTTTAACACGTTTAAAAATATGGATGCTAACTTTCGAGAAGATTTACTTGTATTTGTTATCTCAGGATACTGATATCTTTCTCAGTATAAATAATTTCGTATAAACATTAAAAAATCACCACTTTTCATTACGGTAAAGTGACTTATGCCACTTTCAAAATAAACGGCTCATTTATC